CCAGGGGGAGGGCCTTCTCTGTGGGTGCCCCCGCCCTCTGGAACGAACTACCCCCTGAGATCCGGATGATTCCGGATCTCCTTGCTTTCCGCCGCGCCCTCAAGACATGGCTTTTCCAGCAAGAAGGCCTGGCCTAGGGAGGATTTTAAATTGGGTTCACTTTTTTAGAAAATTTTAAACAGCACAACTCTAAAATATTTGGTTTTAATTGGTTTTATTCGGTGGGGATTGTAAATATGTTTCTGTTTTTAAATATGTTGTGAGCCGCCCTGAGTCCCGTTGGGAGAAGGGCGGGATATAAATAAAAAATAAAGTAAAGTAAAGTAAAGTGTGAGTTAGTGTGCATGCATCCTAAGTGGTAGGATGTTGGCTTTCATGGTAGTCTCTAAACTAATCCCTAGTCCCTAATCTGCATGGAATAGTGCAAACGGTCTTAAGAAAAAGTACAGTGTTGGCAGTGCTTATGGTATACTGGCTAAAATGTGACCACTGACTCTTAATGTTCTTATTGTTAGGGGGGATGCTACATTGTGGCACAGATACCATCAAGCTGGTAGCCTAGCTTGACCTATCTTGTATTATGATTAATATTTATATGTAAGGGTGTAGGTTTATACATATGTTGTATATAGCATGTTTAAATGTGTATTATTTATGTGTACCCTTTTGAGAGCAAGCAACAAAATTTCATTTTTAATATGTGCCAATGTGCCCACAGTAAAAAAATGACAATCAAGGTTGCCTGCCTGCCTGCCTGCCTGCCTGCCTGCCTGCCTGCCTGCCTGCCTGCCTGCCTGCCTGCCTGCCTGCCTGCCTGCCTGCCTGCCTGCCTGTCTGTCTGTCTGTCTATCTTATGTAGAAGTTTATTTCATTTGTTGAGCGTTACCCCAGAACCTGTTTTGGGCAGAGGTAGATGGTGATTTTGCAGAATTCTGGAAACATTTTTAACTTGCAATTATCTAACAATATTAACACTATTATTTTCTAAATTATGTTAAGAAAATCTGGATTTCAAAACTGTAATCTTATACGTGTGTGTGTGTGTAAGAGGTGACACTAGGTTTAGATGGATTTGTGGGTTGGTGTGACCTCCAGTAGGAAATGAGGCTAAATGGAAGATATTTACTTTTTAAGCGGTTCTCTCTTGAAGCTTTCTCATGAAATTCATCCTTTAAGGATTTGAGCATCAGTCAGTTTTCTAAATTTCCTTCATCCTCTGACTTTGCAGAGTTTTTGTACAACTTGTGGAAATGTGTTTGTCAAGGGAATTAAGTCGTTAAGTGGAGAGTGGAGGGTGATGTTCTTTTCCTGCTAACTCTTTCAGCCCTGAATGATTTCAGCTACCTACACTCCAACTGTCTGGAGCTCTCCATCTACCCGGGGTGTGACAAATTTCCCCATGAAAGTGAACTACCACAGGAGTGGGAGAACAACAAGGAATCCATGCTGACTTTTATGGAACAGGTGAGGTACAGAGTTGGCCCAGAGAGTGGCAGTGAACAAATCTTTTCAGCTGAGCTGGGCGGATACAGCAAAATAGCACCTAGTGTTTAGAATATCTCAATGTACATTGGGTGCACCTGATACCCTCTTCAGTCAGTAAGGATTAAGCCAATAATACACCTTTGCTTCTACTTGCATGTGAGTGTGCTTCACCAAGTCATGCATGAGGAAGGCAACGTGTCCATCTGCACCATTACTGGATGACCTATAGCCGTGGTAGCGAACCTATGGCACGCGTGCCACAGGTGGCACGCAGAGCCCTCTCTGTGGGCACGTGCACTGTCACCCCAATCCTAGGCCTTCAGCTGGGTTTTATAAAACCTTTTCGGTTTAGGCCTCTGCTGCCGTGTGCAAAAAAAAAAAAGTTCAATCAATCAATTTCAACTTCATGAGGGAAAAAAAAAGATCTCGCAAAGTTGGAATTGATTGAACTTTTTAGTCCCACCCAGTCTGCCGTTACCATCAAAGCCACACCCACCCAATGGGTACGCCCACCCAATGGGCCACGCCCACCTGGCACCCAACAATACATAAGTGGGTTTTGGGTTGCAATTTGGGCACTCGGTCTCTAAAAGGTTCGCCATCACTGACCTATAGAGTAGATGGAAAACGTTTGTGCTTTCCATTTGTTGTCTCCAAGTAGTAATTTTAATGGAAAAGAGGGAAATTATTAATGCACATTTTAAAATTACATTTATAACTTCAAGGTGGTGCCTAGAGCGGTGTCTCTACTTATTCTCCCACCAATAAGCCAACGACTCATCTTGAGCTAAGTGACTGGCCCCAAGTCACTCAATAAACTGTGTGTCTGGACAGGGATTTAAATCTAAGTATCTATAGCTCAAGATCAATGCCTTACCTGCTGAACTATTGTATTTTTGTACTTAGCTGGAGTATTGAAAGCTCACTTACTTCTTCTGTTGTCTCTGCTACTCAAGGATAGTAAAAATATTGGATGGCTGGATACTGTGTTCACAGGGTTAGTTCCTTTAAGGACCTTGCTCTGAGCACCCTCAAACATTTTGGTGGATGGTGATTACTAAGAACAAGTATTTTTTCCTGTTATGTACAACGCAAAATATGTCTAGTGTGCTAACTTGGAATTCGTGCCAAGTATCCTATGAGCCATCAGAGTTCTTAGCAGGTATCCATCTTTTTTAAATAGCTTAATGGACTTTTCAGAGTGTGTTCTGAGGCCTGAGGTGGATGACCACGGGAAAAGCAGCATCTACACAATTTAAAATAAAAATATGATTCTCCTACCCCTAATGACTTTGTCTTACAGGTACATCGCGGTATTAAGGGCACAGTGACAGATCAACAAGGAGATCCCATCGCAAATGTGTCCATTTCTGTGATGGGGATCAAACATGATGTGCATACAGGTAGGTCGAGAATAGTGAAGGCAAATATACAGGTCCTTATGTTGAGCCTTCTTAGCGCACGCATCTCCTTGATCTTTTTGCTTGCAAAGCATGTGCCTTTTTTCACACGCACAGAGTTGGAAGGGACCTTGGTGGTCTTCTAGTCCAACCCCCTGCTCAAGCAGGAGACCCTATACCATTCCAGATAAGCAACTGTCCAGTCTCTTCTTGAAAACCTCCAGTGATGGAGCACCCACAATTTCTGAAGGCAAAGCGTCCCACTGGTTAATTGTTCTCACCTTTAGGAAATCTCTCTTTAGTTCTAGGTTGCTTCTCTCCTTCTTTAGTTTTAATCCATTGTTTCTTGTCTTCTGGGGCTTTGGGAAATAGGTTGACCCCCCTCTTCTTTGTGGCAGCCCCTCAAATATTGGAACACATTTCCTTATCTGCAATCAGTTTCAACATCATAGCAATAGCATTTAGACTTATATACTACTTCACAGTGCTTAACAGCCCTCTCTAAGCGGTTTATAGAGTCAGCATATTGCCCCCAACACTCCGGGTCCTCATTTTACCGACTTCAGGAGGATGGTAGACTGAGTCAACCTTGAGCTGTTGACACTCGAACTGCCGGCAGTCGGCAGTCAGCAGAATTAGCCTGCAATACTGCATTCTAATCACTGCGCCACCAGCACTCATCAGATATTGCTCTCTTGTGTTCCAGCAAGTGGAGGAGATTACTGGCGCATCCTGAATCCTGGCGAATACCGCGTCACAGCCAAGGCTGAGGGCTACAATCCAAATGTCAAAACCTGCAGCGTCTTTTATGACATCGGAGCCACCCAGTGCAACTTCATCTTGTCACGGTCCAACTGGAAACGCATCCGAGAGATCATGGCCATGAATGGCAACCACCCTCTTGGGAGGCCCATGCCGGGACGACCCATGACCCCTAGGGAGCGCATGCGCTGGAGGATGAGGATGCGCCAAAGAGCTCGCCTGCGCCAGAGGATGCTCGAACGGCTGCGGAAAGCCAGCACAAACCTTCCCACCACCGTTCCTCCCAGTTCTGCGTTTCCCTTCTGGTTCAGCAGCACCACGCTCCCACCGTGGAGTCAAGAGCCTCCCATAGCCGAGTCGGCCACTTCTTGGGATGCCGATGTCTACACCGAGACGGTGACGGAATGGGAGACAGTAACGGAAGAAGTAACCGAGGTGGAGATGACTGGCACTGCCTTTCCAATGACCACAGCAGAGACGTACACAGTGAACTTTGGCGACTAGTACCAGTCTGTCAGCTTGTGAGGACTGCAGGCCAGGAACGCTCTAAAGACATTCCTAAAGCCTACTCCGCCTCTTCTGGAGCAGGTAGTTGTATCCGTTCACTGTAGTAGGTGGAGGCATGTTCTCCTGGTTTTAGGACCCGCCAGGAACCCCCTTGCTTTAAACAGGCTCCAAGCGCCGTCACATTTGCATCATTTATTTTTCCCAACACATACACACATACAAACAACTTTTCTCTTTCTTCTTTGGATATAAAGGCTCAGCTTTCTTTTTAGGGTTGGCACACTAAACCTCTGCTGAATGGGAAATTGAGGTGAGCAAATTGCACATGTCAGACTGACTATAGAATAGGGAACAAGCTAAGAACATAATCTGGCTGAATCTTTAACGTTCTAATATGTTAATCTTTTTTTTTTTAAACTCCATTCTACTTTATTCTTATGTTCTTTACACTACAGTGTAAGATTCTTGCAATGGGGGGGGGGGGAGAAGCAGACTAGGCCTATATCCAGAGGCCCACAGCTATTGATTCCCCGTGTAAATTCACTGAAACAATAAAGCCCACCAAGCGCTGACAGACACACTTGGGGCACAACTCCACAGTTTTATCGAAGTGTCCCCATGACTGCTTATCCGCAGTTTTAATACCTTTGCGGAAGGGATGCACTATATGAAAAATTCAGACTTCTTCCCAATTCTACTTAAGAAGTGGAAGAATTCTTAAAGCGTAGAATGAAAACCGTAACTAGAACTGGAGCCAACATTTATAAGGGGTGGTGGTGGTGGTTTATTTTTGACTTATCAAAATGCCAACCAGGTTAAGTTTCCAAGGCATTAAATGGCTGTCTTTCAGTTTTGCTCACGTGATCTGGTTTGAGAATTCCCACAGGATTCTGGGTCTTTTTCCAAGTGAGGAGATGCTACAGCCTAATCTTCTCCCAGTCACAAAGTCAGCATCCCTTTTTTGTGGTCCTAACATCGAGGAAAGCTGTTGCCTTGACTGCAACGGTCAAGAAGAAAGATTGAGATTTGCTAAGTTCATGGATGACTTTGAAGCCGCCACTGCCCAGGAAATAGTCCAGGATCATCTTGAGCCTTTTCGGTTTTCCAACAGTTGTATTAATTGAATAAAATGAATTATGTAAGAAACTCCCCTTGTTCTTGGTCATGAAGATCAAACACATGCAGAAGAACTGGAATATTTTATTGTATTCCTATCTATTTGAGCCAAAAGTCAAACTCTACAGTAAAAAGCAGGAACAGGGATGACTCCCAAGTTCTAGGAAGGAGAACAACTAAACCCATGTCTCTCAGTCACCCGTCTCCATCACTGTCTCTTCTTCTTCGTCGTCATCACCAAAGGCGGAGAAAGTAACTGGCTGACAAGTGAGGTCACACAAATTGATCAAGCAAGCTGTGTGTGTTGTGCTGAAATCAGGAAGGGTCACCAGCAAGACCTTCTGGCCATCTTCTCCTGAAAAAGAGGAAGGAAGAAAAATGAAGGCAACTATCAGAATTTGGGGAGGACAGGCATGAGGAAGGATGAGGAAAAGGTCACAATTTTCCTCTGGTCCCCCTCTTCCCAAGTTGGGAAAAACGTTCATGATGGCTGTTGATTTTTTAAGAAAGCTTTCCCAATATCTATCAGGGGTTGTAATAATAATAATAATAATAATAATAATAATAATAATAATAATAATAATAAAAGTTGGAAGGGACCTCGGAGGTCATCTAGTCCAACCCCCTGCTCGGGCAGGAAACCCTATACCATTTCAGACAAATGGCTGTCCAGTCTCTTCTTAAAAACTTCCAGTGTTGGAGCATTCACTGCTTCTGGAGGCAGGTTGTTCCACTGGTTAATTGTTCTCACTGTCAGGAAGTTTCTCCTTAGTTCTAGGTTGCTTCTCTCTTTGGTTAGTTTCCATCCCTTGCTTCTTGTCCTGCCTTCAGGCGCTTTGGAGAATAGCTTGACTCCCTCTTCTTTGGGGCAGCCCCTGAGATATTGGAATACTGCTATCATGTCCCCCCTCATCCTTCTCTTCGTTAAACTAGACATACCCGATTCCAGCAACCGTTCCTTATATGCTTTAGCCTCCAGTCCCCTAATCATCTTTGTTGCTCTTGTATTAACAACCTTTGCCTGTCTCTCACCACTGACTTCCAGAGACACCACGAGAGATGCTAGAGTCGCCTGTGGTAGCAAACTGTGCTCACCTTGGCCATTTTTGGCCCTACCACCGTGGCAGTGAGTGTGCTTTGTCTGGAGAAGGCCCCAAATTGAAGCCTTGCTCTTACCAGAGAGGATTAAGGATTATTCAGTTATAGTTAAATAATGTCTTAGCACCAAGTGAGAATCAAAGTTGTTTGCTGGGACAACGAGACTCAAGAGATGTATCCTGGGCTTCCATCCTGTTTTTATTCTTTTCTATTTAGCGGTGGAACTTTGTCTTTCGCCGGACACCGGCTCCCAATTTATTGATTATGCCTTTAGTAATGAAACCACCCAAGCCTCAGCCCGGAAGAAGCCAAGCCAAGCCTGTCTTGTAAACGATGCAGCTGCCAATACTGGCTTACCTTTGACTTCTTTGGATTTGAAGGCGGGCGCGTTTCCGCAGAAATAGATATGAGGGCAGTCGCTGAAGATGAAGGGGTCCGTTTTGTAAAATGGGTAGCAGCCTGAAAGAGAGAGGCAGACCAGGTCCTTTAAATAAATGGTCCACCAGCAGCAGCCTTAAGGCAAAACATGCATTTTGCTCCTAGCATGGAAACAACACACTGTGCCTCAGACGTTCGGTAGTCCCAAGCAGGCTGTGACCTCACCCATACAAATGCAGATCTAGGCTGATTTGGGTGTGGGCCAAAATCCATGAGAATTTGAAAGGAAAAGTAGGGTACAGCTGGTGTACCTCACTCTACTGCAGTGGTTCTCAACCTTTTTAATGCCGCGACCCCAACCAGTCATAAGTCGAGGACTAAACCGGTTGTAAGTCGAGGACTAAACCGGTCGTAAGTCAAGGACTACCCAACCGGTCGTAAGTCGAGGACTTTCCCTGCCCGGGAGCACCGCGCATGCGTGGTTCTGCCCCCTGCGCCGGCCAAGGCGTAGCTGGCAAGCGGCAGAGACGGAGCAGGCCGACCACCAGCTGGCCCAGCCCAAGGGGGGAGGTAAGGCACCCGCCAGAAAAGGGGAAAAAAATGGCAGACAAAAAAAAATGGTGGACAGCCTTGCTTGGTGACCCCCATGAAATGGTCGATCGACCCCAAATGGGGTCCCGACCCACAGGTTGAGAACCACTGCTCTACTGCTCCTCCTTCTCTCCGTGGTGTTTTTGCCCAGTGGTTTCTCTGGCACCTACCTCCCATCGTGTTGAATCCAAATGCAGCATATGTGCCCAACCCACTGGGCCTCATCTTCATCTTCCCCGTGCCTTCATCCCTTCCACATCCACCCGAGGGATCTAGCCTTATTTTCTTGTCAAAGCCCACCACCAGCCTTCCTTTTCCTTGCTCTCTCCCACAGCGGAACAAGTTCTGTTGGAATACACCTGCTTCAGTTCTGGGCAACGATCTAACACCTGCTCCAGTTCCATGCGCATGTGCTTTATCCTGGGCAGAGAATGCTCTACCTACAGCCAGTGCTCTACTAGGAGATAAGGTTGAAAGCGTAGGCACTGCATTCTCCATTTGCAATCCCAGAATTGTATGCTAAATGATAACATTTGCATTGCATTCTCACTGGCTTTAGATACCATGGGCACTGTTATGATAGAGCAATCACATATTTAATCACAGTCATATATTTCAGATATATGACAGAAATTAACACAAAGAGGAGGAAGCAGACACCGATCTTCCACTACAGGCAACTGTCCCCTCTTCCTTTATCCAAAATACACGAGTTGCACATTTGAGAGGGCTTGCTAGCAACCAGACTTTAATCCCCCCATAATACATCCCAGGTCAAACAACCTGAGAATTGGTTTAGCCCAAGGGTGGGGAACCTTGGCTCTTTTATGACTTGTGGACTTCAACTCCCAGAATTCCTGAGCCGGCCATGCTGAGGGTCCACAAGTCATGAAAGAGCTAAGGTTCCCCACCCGTGGTTTAGCCCATCCAATGATCTGCAAAGCTTAAAACAAGGCAGACAAAACCCAGCAAATGCATCTCTTAGTTATATTACCCAGAGTGTCGGGAGCTGTGGGGCTGACATGCCCAATCCTTAAGGTCCACTCCAGAATTTCCAGATAATCAGACATGCTGCTGTACTTGAAAATATCACTTACGTTTTGGCCTGAAGTTCCCAGAAATCTAAACAGAAAAAAAGAGGAAAAAAAATGCCCAACCATTCAGTGGCTGCTGAAAGTCAACAACAGGGCTGAAAAACATGGTTGACTTCGGACAAGCCAAGCCAATGGGGGAAGCTGGATTCGTTTAATGACAGCATGATTCACCTAACAAATGCAGGGATTCACTTCACAACTGTGGCAGAAAAGATTATAAAACCGGGCAAAAGTCACTTCACAACTGCCCTGCTTAGCAATGGAAAGTCTGGCCCCAGTTGTGATTGTAGGTTGAGAACAACCTATCCTATACAGCAGAGGTCCCCATGTCAACGCTGCAAATACTGTATATTCTTGCTTTGACAATGTGCAGAACTGTCTGGTATTTATATAGTTAAACCAGCAACCAGGAAACATAATGTCATGTGTCTGAGTAACGAAACACTTAAAAGGACTTTCAGGCATTTTTTCTCCTAAAAGCATTTATTAAGATTACAATACGTCAGCACAGCATGGAGGTATGCTTAGATCTCATCTCATTCTAAAACAACATGGGGTCCCAAACCCCATCCAGTGCCTCAAAGTTTGAGAGGTACTGGTAAAGATTTGGGGAACAACCAGGAAATGAAGGAGAAGGAATTGTCTGACACCAGCTTCCTCCTAGCAGTAGCAGCTTCCCCGGGGGAGAAGCGACAGCCGGCAAGCCGGGGAAGAAAGAAACCGGAAGTAAATCACATCTTCTAAGTTGATTGGAAGATGTGAACCATGACCCTAAAATAAGGGAGTGGAAAATGTTTGGAATATTAGGCATAACGGAAGAGAAGCAGATCTAAGCATTCCTCCATGCTGTGCTGACGTATTGTAATCTTAATAAATGCTTTTAGGAGAAAAAAAATGCCTGAAAGTCCTTTTAAGTGTTTCGTTACTCAGACACATGACACCCCAACCTTTTGGGCACCAGGGACCGGTTACATGGTGAGAGGTTTTTCCGCAGACCGGAGGGGGCGTGGTTTTGTGTGCTGCCTGCATCCCGTGGATGGGGCTTTCTTTGTTTGTGCGGACCGGTTGCTGGCATGCTGCGGCCCGCTACCGGTCCACGGCCGGGGGGTTGGGGACCCCTGCTATACAGAAC